CTGTTGCCCTTTCGGGCTTGAACTGATGGTAAAACTAACTACATTATTTACTGTCCTTATATTTACTTTGAAAGCTGACGCTCGCGATTATGGTAAGGGACGTTACATTTCCGAAGCGTGCTTGTGGTGGTCGGCCAATCACAATGCACTGGGTCAGCTGGCCAATCAGAGCAGACTGCGCTGGAAGGAGGGGGCTTTGTTGAAAACTAAGTGTTTGAGAGAGCTGGGGCATAGAGTACATACAATAATACAATGTACAATTGAAAAATAATGTGTTTTTTGAACATTAAAGCATGTCAACATATTCTGTTACACCAAATAATGATCTTTAAAATAGCATCATATGACCCCTTTAATATTTTTATACTTAGAGATTTGGGGGGGGGGGGTCAAACTGTAACACCGTGTGTTCAAACCAGACACGACGCGACATGATAAAAAGTATCTTTTCCATGTAGTTTTATTGCTGCTTTTACGGTTTTATTTTTCTCAAATAAGTGTATGGTGAGCATGAGACTTAAAAAAAAAAAAAATAAATAAAATAAATCTTACTGACCCCAAACTTTTGTGTACATGTAATATTGATTTTAAATTGGCTAGTTTGTGCAAGTAAATTGATTTTAAACTTGTTAAAAGTTCAAATGGATTGTGTTATGTTCTGTAATTGCTGTTAATAAATCTGTCAGAAAAAAATATGCTAAAGTTTCACATTTAGGGGTACAACAGCCTGGCAGCCTTTTACAAAAATTAACCATGGTTTTATTACAGTAACCACAGTTTACCATAGTATTTGTAGTAAAACTGCAGTAACCACACATTTACCATGATGATGATGATAATAATAATACTACATTTTAGTACTTATGTAACACCATGTTTATTTTTCATGAGGTACCCTCAAAGGTGTAACTTATCTACCCTTAAAACATGCATACTTGTATGGTACTAATATGCTCACTTTTAGGGGTATAGTTGTTGCACCTTTGAGGTTACTGCCCCATTAAAGGGGTAAAATATACAATTATAGTAGATTTTATTTCTAAAAGTGTAAACAAAAAAAGGCATATGTTAAAAAAATATGGCTTTAAAAGCTAATATTAAGTGAATATAATTACTGATTATATATTCTTTCAATCATTTAAAAGATCAGTTTAGTTTAGAAGTATCGATATCGACGATACTGGGCTTGAAAATATCGGATCGAAAATAAAATAAGAGGTATCACCCATCCCTAGTTCTATTGTATTTTGTTGTGTCACGTCACGTCACGCCGCTCGCGTCCGGTGTAGACACGATGTAAGTTAATGTCGCTTTCTGAAGCTGCGTTTGAATTTTCATGCCACATTATTTGAAATTAGCGCGGGCCAAACATTTTTCTCTCAAGGGCCGGATGTGATTCGCGGGCCGCCTATTGAGGAACCCTGTCCTATACTGTGTTCATTAACTAGGATGTTGCTGGAATCAGTACAGCCAGAGACCCCTGGTCTTCCAATACCAGTGCTGTGAGGAAGGATGCTACGGTAGGCCTAGCAGAGACAGGGAGGAGTGTGGTAGAGGTAGGAAAAACCCAACAGACAGACAGTGACAACAAAGAACAACATACTTTAGAGAATGACAGTAACAGCAGACAAATGGCATAAACAGACAGCACACAGACTCTACAACATCCTCAGATTCTTTTTCTTTTGTTTTTACTGTACGTGTAAATTTTTTATAAACGTGTGCCCTTTAAAAAGTAGTAAGCATTGTTTGCTTACATAGTAACAAGCAGTACTGCTTATATTATTTCACCATCTGTACACAAATGTAAGTAGTGAATGTGTGTGTCCGTGGGTGGGGCTGTGTCGGTGTGGTAATGTGCCAGGGCTGAATTTTTGTCCCAGGCCGCCCCTGCCTACAAAATATTTGAACAGTAAATGTAGATTTGATTAGTCTAAATTCTAAGATTCTAAAGCACAGCAGTTAACGAAAGAAAGAAAAACACTCACCTGCCAAATGGCGTAGTAATGACCTTCCAAGGGAAGAACATCATGGCATCCACATTAATTGAACCGAATGTTTCTAAAGTGTGTTCTGAGTGACCCCCTTTTTTTTGAGCCATTCACTATCCAAGACTGTCCTTGTGAAGAGGACATCCTTCGGAGTGGTTAGGGCATAAAAACAATGATCACTTCTGAATATTGTTTTTCCTGTTGTGTATAAGATGCTCAGGAAAAAATATAAAATCCAGCAATAAGATATTATTTATAAAAATTGTTCAGAATAATCTTTTGGCGTTCGACACTCACCTAATGCAATGTTTCAACTAATGTTTAAAATATTTAAAAGTATAAAATGGTTACAATAATTAATCATAGGTCTCTTGAAAACAACTTTTTTTTAAAAACTCAAGGCAGTTCTGCACGTGTCTATGTAGTTGTTACAAAACAGCCAGCGGATCATACGGAAGGGGATGAGGATTCAACTGCATTAATTTTGAACATCCATCTTGAAATAACTTATCATCTAACAAACTAATCTTATCGTCTATTTTTTCAGCGTAGTTAAAGAAGTTACTGCACTTTTCCCTCCATTTGAGTATATTAGATCATCCACACCAGATCCTGTCACAATCCGTTTTGTCTGGTAACAGGACAACTAGTCAGCAAAATGGTCTAAACTCGTATAAATAAAGGTGCTTCACGATGCCATAGAAGAACCTTTTTGTCTAAATGGTTCCATAGGTAAGAAAGAGATGGTTCTTTAAAGAACCTTTGACTGAATGGTTCTTTGTGGAACCAAAAATGGTTCTTCTATGGCATCGCTTGAAGAACCTTTTGAAGCACCTTTATTTTTAAGAGTGTAATACCTCAAACCCGTTAACAGCAAGTCTTTTCTGGTACCCAAAACCATATTAACAGTCTTCTATCAGCCAAGAAGTTGACCGAGTAAAGCTAGACAAGAAGCAGAAGATGAAGTAATGATAATAAAAAGGAGCAGAGTTTATTGAATAGTCTTAGTTGAGTATGTTTCAATGACCAGAACAAATCCAATAAGCGTTATTATACCACAAGCAATACCAATAGAAAATTACTGCCTCACAATATTGTCCCATAAACCTTACATTTCCTCTTATCTTATTCTTGAAGACAGACATCCCTTGAAACCACACATCATAAGACTAAATAACAAAAATAATATAAACTATAATGATATAATATAAATGACTAATCAATGAATAAATCAATGCAATGAGTATATAAATGGCTATAATGATTATTATAAAGGATTATATGATTAAATAGAATAATAAAATGATTAAATGAATGAATTAATGAATATAAAAGAAAGAAAGTAAAACACAATACAAATGTGTTGTTGCTCTTTTGAAGCAAAACACACATGGTTTTCATTTGAGGATCCTCAGATCCTTTAAGTATCTCTTGGCGGAGTGGCTGCAGCATTATCTTTACACCAAGACTGCAAAACTGTGAATATAAGATTCAAAGTTAGAAATGCACAGCACAGTAATGGATATAAATTGTGAGAACTTCTGCTACTCGGCACATATTAATATACTTTTATTTAAAGACTAATTCTTGTAAATTTATCTCAAATTTAATGGGTGGGTGTGGGGGTGCTTACACTTTTAGTACTTTTTAAGGTAAATTTTAAGGACAAAGTGAGAATTTAAATGTGCAAACTATTCCATACTAAATGCTATTATAAAGTCAAACAAATGAGGACATCATGTCCTAAACTGTCATGGTGGTCCTCAGTTTACTGGTGTGTATTCACAAACACACACACACACAGTAACTAACTGAATAGAACGTGGAACCAAAACATCATGTATGTGCAAAACATACGCACTGCCAAATTCAAATGCATGAAACCTATTTCACATACACACACAAAAAAAATTAAAAATACAAACAATTCACATGCAAAAAAAATTATATTCACAAAAAGCTATTCTTGTCTGCAAAATAAAAGGCCATTTATAAAATACGTTTCACAAAAGCAAAACAATTCACAGAGTTTATTATTGAATCTGAATTTAAATCATTGTGTGTGAATTGTTTTGAGCACATAAATTAGATTTCATGCATGTGAATTTGGCCACGCATGTGTGCATCATAACTTTAGCATAAATTCAGTTTGAGACCAATTTGCTTCCATATCATGCACCTGATTACAGTGTGTGTGAGTGAGTGTGTAAGTACCTGGCATACAGGAGCAGGTAAAATCTCCTATCTGGTCCAGGCAGGTTGGTTTCATTCTGGCAGGGGTCGGAATCACATTTATTGATGTCTCACAGCGTGGACCGGTGTAACCCGGAGCACAGCTACAAGTAAAAGAGCCCACTGTGTTCTTACATGAGCCACCGTGCTCACGTGGGTTTGTCCCTGATGTGCCGAAAAAGTTTCAGGCAAAATATGAAATGCATAAAACACTGTAATGTGTGTGTAGGGAAAGATGTATAGAAATACAGAGACATAAACACAGACAGACAAAAGTCCTGCAAACTGTCTCACCGATGACACACTCGTCGATATCCTCGACACACGTTCTGCCCTTGTATCCTGAGGGGCAGTTACAGTTGAACTTGCCATTGACGGGGTTCGTGTCACATTGAGCTCCCATCTTGCACGGGTTACTGGTGCAGACATCATCAATGTGACACAGCAAACCTTGAAAACAGAAAAAATCACTACTGTTACTACAACTGATCTGAGAGGGTTTTATAGTGTACTACTGTAGAGAACAATCAAATTATAATGAAAAACAATTAACAAACTGAATAAAACAATACAAATATAAATCTTAACAGATTTATGTGATTAATATTTCAAATTAGTATAAAATACTTCATAGAGACACATTATTTATTTGTAAAACTTTTAATTGTTGTGTATGTTGTGGGGATTTTGTTTAAGAGCCATATGTGCTCATGACTGAAGTGAGCAAGTGTCTTAAGAGTCATTTTTAGGTCATGTGGTTGTTTTTACTGACCAGTCTTGCCGGGAGGGCAGCTGCAAATGAAGGAAGCCACGCGGTCGATGCAAGTGGAGCCGGTGATACAGGGCGCATCTGCGCAGTCATCAATGTTTTCAGAGCAGTCAGGGCCGCTCCAGCCGTTCACACATACACAGTTGTAGCCATTGAGTGTGTTACTGCACGTGCCTCCGTTCTGACAGGCGTTGGGCTGCAGTCTGCATTCATCCACGTCATCGGTGCAAAACTGACCTGGAAATGAAAGGTTCGTGATTTAAGTAGGACATTTGAAGGAGGTTTGAAATGAGGTTTAACTGATTGAAATTTTTTTTTTTTTTACCAGTTTCAGTTTGTCAAATTTTGTTTTGAATCAGTGAATAATGGTTCCAAATTTTTTTGTTCATCAGTCAAATATATGAAGGAACAATCAAATATAAAAATACATTACAAATGATCGGTTCCAATTATTGGTTATTTCCACTAATGGAAAGGGAAAAGATGGAGCAAACACACATAAAAACACACAAACACACATAGTATATAAAGCTGTTTTCATACCAGTCCATTCAGGTGGGCACTGGCAGTTGTAAGTGTTCACTCCATCCATGCATGTGGCTCCATTCTGACAGCGGTGATTCAGACAATCATCAATGTTCACCTCACAGTTTGTTCCATTAAAACCTGATTGCAAGAAAAATGAAGCTTACTCTTATATTTGGTTCGAGTTATAGAAGCAAACATGGTAACACTTTAGATTAGGGAACAGTAACACTATTCAACATTAACTAGTTGAATATTGGCTGTTTATTAGTACTTATAAAGCACATATTAATGCCTTATTCTGACCATATTCTAAACCTCTTGATCATATCCAGTATCTAAATATAACTGCATTTATCTGATAAAAATACAGTAAAAACAGTCATTTGTGAAAGTCTGTGAATTTTAAAAAACTTGAATTTTCAGCAGCCATTACTCCAGTCTTCAGTGTTACTGTATTTTATTAAAGCAGGCCTAAGCGATGATGCACATTATGGTGAAATCACCACCACTTCTTATTATGCTAGCAGTAGCTATTAGTTGATTAATTGACTTGTTTTCAACTTAGTAATAACATAGTTGAGGTCTCAATAATTAGTTAGCATTCACACGTTGTCTAATTAAGTGTATCATAAAAAATTTACTGTTGTGCAGTTGAATGAATATGGCTGTGATTTGCAAAATATGCCTTAATTTCAGTTAAGCATGCAAAAATACAATTTTGATAATGAACACTTAAACGTATTGCATTAGCTGTCAAGAATTACTACTATGATTAACTTTATGTCATCAACATCATGATAAACATAATAATAAACAAGCGGATGAGTCGTCAGGACTGGATTGTGATATTGCAGTGTCAGGTAGAACATTTGTGATAAACTTGTCACAGAGGTAAGCAAGAGAAGTGAATCCTACAAAAGACTGGACAACACATTTGAACAAATTCACTCATCTGCCACATTCCTTCAGAAAAAGAAAAAAGAAATACAGTTGTGACTTATCCGAAAATTTTGTTGATGAATTGGGACAGTTTAAGGAATACATTAAGAATGTGTATGTTAAATCAGCAAGTGAGTGTTGTTTACTAATTCGTAAAGATGAACATTCAAACAAGTATTCCCAAATTGCCCTGCAGCCTTTTTTAACCCTACATGTAACAAATGCCTCTGAAGAATATTCTTTTCCAAAGCTGTCATTGGTAAAAACAGACTGTGATCAACACTGGCACAAGAAAAACTTAATCATCCGACACATGTCAAAGGTTAATTTTTATTAGTATGTGCTAGTCCACATTATCTCATTAACTTTTCAGCATCATACAAATGTTCAGTCACTAAAATTTTCGTATATTTTTATATGCAAGTTTAGATGCTTTGTTGCATTTATTTTTGTAAAATAAAAAGCTGATTCACTAAGATGAAGTGGATGTAGGCAGTAGGTCTAATGATACAGTCAGTATGTGTCAAATTCAGCCAAATTCGAATATGTGCCAGTTTGGTCTGTGCGTATTTGTGTAGTTCACGCAGTGAGATTTGCATATATTTGATATGACTTATAGGTTTGTATGTTATTATCAAAACAGATTTCTATTTCCTCTCCTAGGGAACTAACCAGGCAGGCAGTGGCATATGTAAGTTGTGTCTGTCATCTGCTGGCAGGTTCCACCATTGAGGCAGGGGGATGGAAAGCAGGGCACATAATTCATCTCGCAGCGCTGGCCTGTGAAACCCAGAGGACACACACATCTGGGGCTCCCAGGTACACAGTCCACACTCATAGTGCATTCTCCTCCATTCAGACAATATCCCACATAACACAGGTCCTTGTGCTGACAGTACTCACCTGAGAAACCAGGAGCACACCTGAAACACATAGAAACATGGTTAGATGGAGTTCTGGACAGGCCTACCAGACACAGTGTCTCGCACCTACAGTAAATCAGTGGTGGGGAATCAGTGATGATCTGGGGGTGCTTCAGCAAGGCTGGAATCGAGCACATTTGTCTTTGTGAAGTATGCATGAATCAAGCCATGTACAAGGTTGTCTGGGAAGAAAACTTGCTTCCTTCTGCTCTGACAATTTTCCCCCAACTTTGAGGGATTGTTTTTTCCAGCAGGACAATTCTCCATGCCACACAGCCAGGTCAAACAAGGTGTGGATGAAGACCAATCTCCAGATCTGAACCCCATTGAAAACCTCTGGAATGTGATCAAGAGGAAGATGGAGTGTCACAAGCCATCAAACAAAGCTGAGCTGCTTTAATTTTTTGTGCCAGGAGTGGCATACAAGGGGTTTTCGCACCACATAGTTCTGTGAACCAGACAGAACTAAGTTCATGGTGGTTCCTTGAGAACCAATTTCTCCCTTGGGCCATTTTGCTGGTTACATTCGCACCGGCAGCGTGAACACCGAAGTGGCTGACAGCGACGTCTTTATTCACATTAACGTCAACAACCGGTGAATGGAAGACACCGTGATCAGAGGAGCTATTTTTGTGTTGTGGGTTTCGTGATAACAGAGATGGAATGTAAAAGCACAATTTACGTGACTGAAAGAGCATGGAAATCTGACTAAATCTCCTGTGACAACTTGCAGTGTTACATATCATCGAGGCTGAGAAAAGAACACAACGCTGCAGACAGCAGGTAAACGCTGTATCGCTGTTTTCCATGTTCTTGAAGTAAATATGTTTACATGGCTTTTTAAAAATGCCGGGTAGCCGGTGTTTCGTATGTGTTTGGCCAATCAGCGTACACTTCAGGCCCAAAACTGACCCAATCGCATTGCGTTCGGGGGGGGGTCCCCGGTAAAGATTGCGTTCGGGGGGAGGTGGTAAATACACGTTTTTTTGGTGGCGATCCCCTGGTAAAATTCACATTTTAGGGGCTAAATATTACCTTATTGGGGTCGCTTCAACTCACGGACATGAAAAATTACCTGCAGCAACAGTGTTAAAGGGTCCACGGGTCCAATTCCACTGGAAAACCACAGACTTGGCAACACTGGTACACTTATGGCACTTTTCCACTGCATGGTACAGCACGGTACGGCTTGGTATGGTTCACTTTTGGGGGGTTTTCCACTGGGTACAGTACCTGGT